CTCACTGCCATCTAAGAAGACCAAATAACTTTACCCGCAGTCTAAATCATATTTGACTCAAACTTCCAAAAAGTAAAAATCTAACAAAACCTGCACTATCCCCCCGGGTCTTCTAATAGAAAAAGGTGCCCTACAATTCAGTTTTCCAATTTACACAGTTTGCAAACAGCGCTGTGAGGATTTTGTAAGAAAAGATGAACATGCACAAACCTGCACTAAATTCTGCCACCCGTGCTTGTGGGTCAGCTTCTGTTCCTGTGCAAAATCTCACTGACATGATACATGGATCCCTCTGTAGGACCACTACACTGTTCTGCAATTACAAAAGTCTTTGAAATAGAACAATGACTACCTGATCAGTATTTCATAGCCACCTCTTCCCTTTAACATGTATCCAATGGTAAATAAAACACAGGTTTTGCATGCCTGCATTTTCTTACTAAATTAATACAAAGTTTTTCAGTTATTGTGAGTCCAGGTTTGATTCATGATCTTTTTTCAATTATATTAATATTACTAAAGTATTACTTCAATTTTTTTTCCAAATACAATTTTAAAAGTACTGCTTACTTTCTGTATTTCCACCATCCTTCCCACCCACACCGTAGTCATGCCACACTTTCAAATATTTTTCCATAGCAGTCTCCTATGTACTATCACTTTATATCACTTACAGGAAGTGGTATACAATTTCTAAACACAGGAACTTTTCTCTGTACAACAAAAAATTCAACTTCATACTGTCAGTTTTAATTGAGCAAGAGATTTGGGCATAATGCAATAAACCATCATAGAATCAGTCACAGAATGGTTTGGCTTGGAAGGGACCTTAAAAATCATCTGGTTTCAACCCCTCACCAATGGCTCCAGTCTAACTACAAGCACTTAGGTTGCTGAATTCAATTAGAGAAGTACATTTAAATCAAGTAGAAAAGCACACTTAAATCAGGCTGCTCTGTATAGCTAGATACTTTGAAGTATATGAAAACAGGTGTCATCTCCTTCTCTAACACATATCACACCTTTAAAGTAAAGTCTTTCATGGAGTTTCAGCCATTGTCAAGCATGAGATTAGGTATCTTCTCAAAATAATACAAAATTGAGTGTCTTTTTTGAAACTAAGTAAAAAAGGCTCACGGCCTTCACTTACATGGCTCTCCTCTGAGGTTCATAAACAAAGAGAAAATAAATAACTAATTTAAAAGTTCTCAAAATAGTAGGCTAAATAATCCTCATCGAAAATTTTTAAAACAAAACAGTTTTGCAACAGGTGAAGGGGCAGAAGAAAAAGAAGAGACTGAACTAGGTCTTAGCTCTCATGGATGTTAGCTGAAAGCATATTGCCTAGATGTAGTTCCCATTGCCTAAAACATATTACTTGCTCTTTTAGTTCTGTCAGCTGCTTTTCAAAAGTAACAAGATAGTCCCCAGTTATATAATAATTTCATGTTTAAATACTTTACAATATGTTTTAGATGTTGAGAATCATAATGACATAATCATTTGAGAATCAAAATGACAATCATATATATTTTTGGGCTCATATTTCTATTTATGTAATTAATCTAAAGCAACAGAAATTCAACTCATGAGGAAAAATATCATTAGACTGGAAGAGACAATTGGAGAATCTCCTCTCCACAAGAAAAGAGCTCATGGAATAAAGATACCATAAATAAAGCACACCTATCTCCAATAGCAGTATCCCTTTCTGAATTCCTACCACTGGATTTTGGGAGAGGAAGAACAAAAAACATGTACTGAAACAACTCAGGAAGAAGAGACAGCAAAGTTCTGATTGCCTAGCAGAAAGCTTTCCAGGGATTTACTCTAAAATATCAGGCATAAAAAAACATACTGACATTCTAAATGTGAGTCAGCAGTGCCCAGCATGGCCAGGAGAGCCAGCCCTGTCCTTCAGCAGCCCCAGCATGGCCAGGAGAGCCAGCCCTGTCCTTCAGCAGCCCCAGCATGGCCAGGAGAGCCAGCCCTGTCCTTCAGCAGGCCCAGCATGGCCAGGAGAGCCAGCCCTGTCCTTCAGCAGGCCCAGCATGGCCAGGAGAGCCAGCCCTGTCCTTCACCAAGCCCAGCATGGCCAGGAGAGCCAGCCCTGTCCTTCACCAAGCCCAGCATGGCCAGCCAGGCAAGGGAGGGATTGTCCTGCTCTGCTCTGGGCTGGGGCAGTCTCACCTCCAGGGCTGGGAGCAGTTTGGGTGCCACAATGTCAGAAAGATGTTAAATGTTGGACAGCATCCAGAGGAGGGCAGTGAGGATGCTGGAGGGCCTTGAGGGGAATGCGTGTGAGGAGCAGCTGAGGGCAATCGGTCTGTTTAGCTGGAGAAGGAGAGACTGAGGGGAGACCTCAGTGCAGGCCACAGTTCCCTTGTGAGGGAAGAGGGGCAGGCACTGATCTCTTTCTTCTCTGTGGTGACCAGTGACAGGACACAAGGGAATGGCCTGAAGCTGTGCCAGGAGTGGTTTAAGCTGGGTATTAGGGAAAGGTTCTTCACCCACAGGGTGTTTGGGCACTGGAACAGGCTTCCCAGGGAAGTGGTCACAGCACCAAAGCTGACAGAGCTCCAGAGTGTTTGGAAAAGACTCTCAAGCACACAGTGTGACTCCTGGGGTATGCTCCACAAGGCCAGGAGTTGAACTCAGTAAATCCTGTTAGGTATCCTCCAACTCAGAAGAGTCTATTATTTTATGATTTTAATTCCTCCACATTTGAGAGACTTGAGAATCTTGCATAACTGCTCCAGTAACTTTCCAGCTGACACTGAAAATTTCATATTATTGTTTTACACAATAAGGGCAGAAAGTGAAACACCGGTCATGATTAATTTTTAAAATTCATTCCTAATTAAAGGTATTTATTAAAGGTTGCCATTTTTATTTACAGAATAATTTCCTGTTGAATTAGGAGGCTGTCAATTACACTGTCAACAAAGCCACAAATCTTATACAATTTCTAGGCAGAGAGGAAAAAATAACAGGAAAGTATCTTTTATATATTATTTATAAACCTTTGAAATGACCTTGAAGACCTTTTGCACAAAATACTCCCAATGCCAGAAGCTGTAAATTCTCAGTCAAAGATGAGGAACACACTACCTGAAACAAGCCCTTTATTACCTGACCCTATCAAACCTGCAGGTAGTCCCCAAAGGGGCCAAACTGCTCTGCAGCGCAGGAAGACACTAAGCCATACAAAAATAATTGAAAGGACAATGAGGGAAATTAAATGGGCACAGAAGACAGTGCTGAGACCATTGGAAGGTGAAGAGGGTATTATCCATCCTAGACTGCCATTTTAGGCCTACAGACGTGGAATTTATTGCATATTGGGTAAGAATCATTAGCTAAATCCTGTGTGCTTTTCTGAAGAAAGTGAAAGGGAATAAAAACGAAGCCCCAGTGTACCATCATATGTGACATGCCAGAGCACATAACTTCTTCCAGTTTGTTATCGCTATTTAAAAAAGAATAATACTCTAGTCAGGCAATAGTTTATTAATTCATTAACTAAATGGTGCCTGTTCTGACATAATTTCATACCTAGTACAAGACAGTGTCTATAGTACAGATCTTAAAAAACTTCCTCTTGATTTTACCTCCTTAAGGTAATGATGTCAAGGTGACTAATGACTTAAAAACTAGAAAACAGTGTTAACCTGAATTTTCAACACATCGCAGAAAAAAAAGAATAAACAGCAGAAAGTAGAGTAGCAGCAAGCCTCGGTTACATGTGCATAAGAGAAATATTTTTATTTTCCTTGCAAACATTAGTAGGCAAAGAAGTCAACACCATCTGCCCAGTTCTAATTTTAATGTAAAGTTATTCTAAATTGAACAGAGAAAAAACATCAATGGAAAAAATTATTTAGATATTCTAAAATTAAAACTAAGGACTGTCTCACCAGGAGTGAGATTTCTAAACCTACTTTTGTTTCCACATAAAATAGGAGATAGCCTTAAACAGAAAACTGAGCCACAGATTCACACAGCTCTTGGCCTAGCTTTATCCTTTTAGATAGCTGGGCCGAAGCACTCTACACATTTCATAACATTTTTCTTCCTCTTTACATTAAGTAGCTTAGTTGTGTAAATGTAGAAGCATCAGTTCCAGGCACTACAGTTTTGAATCCAAAAGTTCAGCATAAGTGCTGAACCATAACTGGAGTCGAGTTTAATCACACAGAATCCCTGGGATATAAAGGGGCCTCTTGGGATCATCTTGTTCAAACCCAGTGCTCAAGCACAGTCAGCTACAGTAAGGTGCAAGAGAACCATATTCAGTCAAGTTTTGAGCATCTGATGGATATTCAGACTTCTCATGTCACTCCAGTCCTGAACTGAACAACTCAACAGTGAGCTTTAGCAACCGATTACCATCTGGTTATATATCAGAGATAACCACTACAAAAATCATCCAACACACCCAAATGCACAAATTGTGAACTAATTTACCTTTACTACTCACTGAGCAGTGGTCTTTTACTGCTCTTGTAAGCTAAAAGTAAAAGCACTGAGCTAATGAATGATTTTTATGCTCATCCAGACATACTATGTTTCCCCGTATCTTGGAACAGTCTTCTTGGAACACTTGTATTTATTTTTTCTATTAATTTTTAAACTATTTACATTTTTAGATATACTGGAATGGCAAACTTTTGGGCAACTTATTAATGAGTCAAATAACTGGGGGTCTATTTTTAAATTGTAAGGCCTGAATGCTTCACCCTTGACTCTGCAATATAGTCACTGACCCACTGCCCAACACAGGCCATTTCCTTCCTGTGCATCATCTATTATTTATTCCAAAGATGGTACACAATGCTTCCCCATCTCTGTAAAACATTTAGGGAGCTACAAGGGAAGTGTACTACATGTGTGGAGTTTTACCAAAACTGATGGAACTGGTGAAATAACATTCTCTTCCTGCAGCAAGAATGCCTTGGAACTAATGAATGATACACTCTGAATTCAAACATCTTGCCTACCTTGTCTGGTATACTCATCTGCTTCTCTGTGGACCAAATCTTTTACCCGGTTTCCATACAGCAACCTAGAGGAATCATGATCAAAAGCTTTCAAGGTTTCACTGGAGCTGTAAGACTTCTGAGTAGGCACTCTGCACTCCTCATTTTCTGTAGAAGAGTTCGTATAGCGCCGCTCCTTGTCCCGTCTGCTCTTTGTCAGGGAGCAATAAGGCCTACGTTCCTTCACATCCATACTTCATTCCTTCTCTGCGCACATCAGTCCAGCTTATTGGCAAGTCTTCTCTACATTCAGCTTACATTCACCTATAATAAAATTAGAAAGACAACCACTGATGTGTTACAATGATCTCTAATGGCTGTAATTGATCCCTAACTGTCTGGAACAGAAAGAAGGAAAGAAAAAAAGATCTGCTCAGCAGTGGGTCAGAAGCACTTCTGTAAGACTTGCCAGAGCTCCATGCACGAGCTACCCTGATCTAAAACATTAGCAAAAAAATTCTTGTGCAAAACATCAACACATTATTACTCATTTTTATACAACAGATTAAAAGATCAAAAGCAGAGAGTGATTGGAGCAGAGAACCGACTGGAAAAACAGTAGTTTTTCAGCTTTAGGAATGTGTTAGCTGTCTAAGGTCTATCTGCAGGTAAGCTTTTTTTTTCTTTGTCTGAGAAGCCTGCATGCTTAAATGGCATATCTGGTTTTCTTCTGCTTGTTGGAAACTTGTGGTATTAATTTTGGGGTTTTATACTTTTCTGCAGACTTTTAGGCTTCTACAATTTCTACTGCAATTGCTATTCCCAGAAAATTATTCTCAGAGAACATGTACACATAATTTCACAGCAAGCTACACAAATAACACAGGTTATATACAGGAAGGTTTATCCAAGCCAGTATATTCTATGCAAGCTGTGCTAGAAGGCAAGAAAATATTTGATTTGCAAATGACAGTCAGAAATAGTTTTTTCCCCCTCAAGTTTTTAAATAATATTACAGTAAGAATCATATTTCTATTACTATTTATTTTGCTTTAATATTTAATTCATGTGTTTTCAAAACAAAACTTCTCAGTTTTCAAAAGAAGACATCTCAGTTTAATTTATTGGGTACTGCAACCTCGACCAAAATATCTACATTTCTGACAGAAAGAAAGACTGGATATTCTGCTTTTGTTTTATCAAGAGAAGTGCTAAAATAAAGTTAAGAATATAATTTTTATCTTTAAGCAGCTGAGAAAGCCTATGCATATCACACAGCAACACATATCACAAATCAGCAGCAAACTCCATTTGCACTCTTTTCAGCAAAATAAGGTTGCTTTACAACTCTTCATTTATTTAAACACTTAATATCAAACTAATTAGTTGTCACTTCTTAAAATATTTTCAGAGAGTATCAAATTTACTACAGAGCTATAATTCAAGTTTGTGAACAAGAGCCAGTCCTTTATCATTTTGTTTTGCAATTTTCCAAAACGGTTTTTGCATTTCTTTGCTTATCTGAAGCTCAGTTTAGACTCAAGAATAAATTCCAAAGACTTCCATTTAAGGAAACAATCTACTTTTATATTTTCAAATTTTAAGTGGCTAACTGATATTTTCACATGATTAAAAAAAAAAGTTTTACAACACAACAGTTTACTAAACTGATGACTGTTTAGTTGTTTGCATGCCCACATAGCACATCTTTCTAGCTTTATATGAAACACTCAGATTTTAAAACATTTGATCTACTAATAAACGAAAGTACTTTCCAGGAAAATCAGTTTACTAGAAATATTGTAAACTCTGTGTTTTATTAATATGAAACTGAGCTGTGATGTTTAAAAATCATTATTAACAAATACACACGGGAATTCCTTTGCAGTGCAAAGCCTATCTCCCCTTTCATCTAAGCATGTCAAGACTTTAAAGGGCCACTAATTCCTAGTGTCTCTAAACTGTACCATGGGAAAACTGACACACTATTCATCATCATGACTCTTCACATCAAAGAAGAAATAATTTTTATTTTTATCTAAGTTTCCAAAATCCTATATAATGTTAAAAAAAACAACAAAAAACCCCAAAACAATAACAAAAAAGCACAACAAAAGCCAAACCAACAACCCAAACTCTTATTTCCACAATACGTTATTACTGTAGCAAGTTAAAATTCTTCAAGAGTTAATCTATGGTGTAGCATGAAGAAGTACTGATCTGCTTCCCAGAGAAGTCTATGAATTCAATAAAATTTCAAAAAGCAGTTCTCTGGGTTATCTATTGCTTTTCCAGGCAAAGAATGAAAAGGTTAAAAAAATACAAGCTGTTTAACAGCACCACTTTATGGAGACACTTCAGCAGTGATTATCCTGCCAGAATAATGAGGACTACTGGATTATTTGTGAGCATTTTTGAAAAAAAAAAAACAAAAAACCCACAAACAAAACAAGCAACGAAACAAACAATAAAACAAACCTTTCAGGTTTTAAGAACATGGTCTTTTTGAATCTAGCATTATACAAATCACCTGTTTACTTTCAGTAGCCTTTAACTTTAAAAATTTATGGTATCTCTCAGCAAGTCTTAGGAAACAACATCCTCAGGCTTGTGTCTGAATTTATTTCATCAGTGAATTAATACACATATCTAATAGAAGACAGAATAAAAGCTATCTTAAAGAACTGTCTACAAATAAATGTTCTTTACTGTGATCAGACAACAAGCAGAAAGGGAGAGCACAAACATATTTGCAGAAAACACAGCAACAAATATCAGAATTAATGTTTAAGTAGGGTAAGTCAGCAGTGACAAGCCAAACAAAAGGAGACCTGCAGACTGCTTTACTACATCTTTACTTGAATCATTGATACATTATGAATCACCCCTTCCTCTTCCCTAAAAAATACTTTTCAATGAGAAGAAATGAGAGAAATATTTTCAATTATTGAGAAAATTATTTTAATAAAAAACCAAACTGTCATTTACTGCATCTATCAGCCCCTTTCTCTGAAAGATCACTACTTAAATACTAACAAGATTTCCCATTCACATCTTTACAGATTCAAATGAGCTACTGCTGCACAGATTTGATCATATTTCCTTTTTTTCTTCTCTTCTGTTTCCTACAACATTAAAGCTGCATCTTGGGGTCTTGGCAGGGATAGACAAATGCACAGCAACTAATTTACAAAACCAGATTAAAATCTTAAACCAAGGGGAATACATTTATTTTGAGATGTATTATGAAACACTTGCTTTCATCTGCAAAGAATTTTTGCCCATATGTCAATATTTATGGTCTATCAGGTTGCTTCACCCCAACTAAATGAAGTCATTTACACAGAGCAATATTTACAAAGCTATTGAACTACTAACACACTCACAAAAGGATGTCAGTTCAGCTCTGCTATACACTGCTGCATGTGTTATATTGCAATGCTAACCTGAAACAGCCTGCATGGACTGCAGAAAATAAAAAAAAATTTTCACTGGTGCACGCCACTACTTCAAGTTTCTGTGCAATACTTTTGAAAGTATAAAAACTGAGGATGCTCATCTGTGTCACTGAGCATTGGGATCTCCCATGACCTCTGCAGTGATCTCGGCAGTGCTGGGGGCTCCTGGCTGAATTCCACAGGAGGGTGTTCACTGATCACCAGGCTCACATGTCAGCTCTCATACAGTCACGCTCAGCCCACTTCTCTATCGGCTCAGCTGATTGCACACTCAGAATCTACTTTCTCAGTCTCACTCCAAATTTTAAAAACAGCTTGAAATCATAAAGAGAAGATGCCCATTTTAAAAATAATACCTACATATTTATTTCAGCTTATTTTAGAAGGAGAGAAGAAACAGAGAAGCAGTTCTTCTTGTTATCAGGTCATTGGGATCAAAGATCTCATTCCCTTATGAGTCAGGCTACATTGAAGACCTCTGCCCTCATTAACACTTTTAGCACAATATTTAATTACCAAGTCTGATAAGTTATGAGCAATTAATAATTAAAACAAATAAACAACCAAAATCCCTTCTTTTGCTCTAAGTGTTGTAGAGACACCAAGTGCAAACACTAAAACTGAGCACAAGGCATGTTCACACATGAGTGTCTAAGCTACCACAGCAGCTTCAATGACTGATGTCTCACACAGACAAAGTTGACTACTGGTGTAGTTTACACTGCATTTAAAATTTACCAGGACAGCCTTTCATCAGTTTCTCTTAGTCATCTACAGCAACATGAAATAAAATTGACGTAGTGAAAAACAAAAACAAAACAAAAACAAACAAAAAACCCAACAAAAACCAAATCACAGTTACTTAGCTTTTTTCAATAAAAACCACTTGGTATTTAAGTTCTACACTGCAACACAGAAAAGCAATATTTAAATTGGTAAGATGCAAAAAAGGCATTAAGATCATGCTACAGTTATCCAAAACACGCAGGTACAACTTTAGCATGCCTGCAGGCATTTAAAATGTTTCAGAAAATGACTGCATTTCATTCAACACCTTGAACTCTGAGTTCCTCAAAAGGTTGTTGCAGTTTGGTAGCAGAATGGCAATCGTGCCCAAGTTACACAGTGCTCCCTCCTCACCTCTCACTTGAAGAAACTTCTCCCAGCATTAAACATGATTCAATGAACATCAATGTACCTAAGAATTCTAAATATACCTCAGTATTTTATGTCCTTTGATATCTAAGAATCTACAGAAGCATGGAAGTGTAAACAGGTAAGAAATAAAATACGTTTGTTACTGATCTGACAAGATAATTGTACAGAAAAGATTATGTCACTGCTTAGGTTCATTTATGGATCTACTATAGTCCCTTTCAACATCTACATGCATTTTAGACATTTCTAAACATACAAAGCAAAACTGAAATTAATTCTAAGAATAATAAGAGTCAATAATATATACAGAGCTGGAATAGAAAATATTCAAAGAAAGGAAAGATAAAACTTGTACATTTCTCTGTTACAGGAGAACAGTAAGAGAGTTTGAAATACAAGGAAGCACAAACTCTCCTCCTCAGTCTCAAAGAGAAGCAGCAGCAAGGAAAGCAGCATTATTTCCCTTCTTCCCTCCCCGAGGCCAGCAAAACTGAGATAGGGAAGGAACTTACATATTATATATCACAAACTTCCCTCCCAACATCTCAATCTAAAAACTTAGACATTCCAAAGAATCCTGGTATTCCTAGCTGCAGAGACCTACATTATTAGTGAATTATTGTTATTTTTGTTATTAATTACCATTATTACAAATGAAGAGTCATTGATCCTTCCACAGTGACTCCTAGGTGAAAGCACAGCCTGAAC